ATAATATGTTTTTATGTTAAGATATTATGATTGTACTATTATATATTAATAATAATTGACATTTTATTGTATATAGATTTTATTAATACACGAAATATATCAAATTATCGCTTACAATTTAATTGTTTCACATCATTTATTTCATTACATTTAGATTATTTATTAAAGTAATTATCTTTCTTAGCCTTCTAACTAATGCTAAAATTTTTCCTAAATTATATAATTCTGCACTAATTTGAATTATACTGCGTCAATTTTTAAAATAAATAATTAATAAATAAGTATATATTTTCTTTTAAGTCATATGACTAAGCAAAATTGCTACATTAAATATATAAATATATGATTCCTCATAATTATATATGCATCAGTTACCTATTTATTTTATTGTAGTTTAACATTACTTTTTACACAGTTACAAAGTGATCAATATATATATATTGAATTATGTTCAATATGTAGCACAGATAATACACATTTTAATATATATAAATAAAACTTAATCGTACTTTTTTATAGATAATATAAATATATGATTAACAAAATTAATGAATTAATGGTTTAGTTATAAATATAACTAATTGAGGTACATATTATTTTTGTTAAGTAATATATATAATGCGCATGAGGAACCATTACAAAATAACTGTCAAATCAAAGCAAAATTATGTATCATTAAACATATAATTTCTCAATTTAGCCTTATAATAAATTTAAATTTAATTATACATTTCATTTATTCTTTTTTAAAAAAAGTTATTATGAACTTTATATATTACTAAAAATAAGAATAAAATAATTTTTTTCTCGTTATTCTTTGTTAAAATAAGAAAAAGAATATATATGATTTATTCTCCAAAAAAGAACATTGCTATTTTTGAAATATAGCATAAATTACCTTTTAATTTGTTAAAATTATTTAATATAGAAATAAATTCTAATTAGTTTTATTCTTGAGAATGAGAAAAATAAATAATTTTTATATATTAATATAATTCACTAAAAAGTCACATTCGAGCATGCATAGTAATTGTTTTGTTTTTATTCGATACTAGTGCTCAAATATATAATTCTGTAATAATTAATAATTCATCAATGATAAATTTAGTATTCAAGTCAATAAGAATTATTTAAATGAATAAAAATCAATAATTATTATGATTTATATGAATTTGCGTTTATATTCTCTTAACGTTAAAAAATTCGTACTAAATATTTGTTAGTAATGAAGAAAGTATACATTTTTGATAAGTATTTAATTTAATTCTAAATATTTAATTCATTATGTGTTACATATATACATCTGTACCATTATCAAATTTTATCATAATGTTATATATAAAACGCATGAAATAATATGAAATATGTTATTGCATAAACGTATCCAAAAGTATATATTACAACATATGTTATTTTTTTTCCACAACATTAGGTAATAAGGTGTAAAGAAAATAATTCCCCAATAAAATAGATATTAGTTATGTAACAAAAAATCAAGTAAAATTAAAAATAAATACATACAATTAAGCATAAAATATAATTTATTGTATATGAAAATAACGTAAACTGTTATTAATGAGTTATAAAAAATATGTATAGATAACTAATAATATAAACATGCGATTTAATGTGGTGTTATTATAATACATGTATTAAAGGTGAAAAATTATATACAAATATTATCTTTTTAGCATGTTAACATTCTAACAATTTTTTTATGTTATTAATTACTCATTAAATGAACATTTTTGTATCATAGATATATAAGAATTGTAGAATAAATATACATTGTATATATGTGTTTGCAACCACAAGATATAATATATATATATATATTTAAAGTATAAAAAAATTTTTAAAATATGAAATATACATATTGTATGTCACAATTAATTAAGATGATTATTTATTATTAATAGTATATAGTCAAGATAGAAATAAAATTTCATTTAATTATAGCATAATAGCATATACATTATTTATTATTAGAAATATTTAATTCACATTAAATGTGAAGTTAAGAATTTATATTCTATATATGTTAAAACAAAAAATAAGTAATAAATTAATGGAATTGTAAAATAAATAAAAAATCAAATGATATTATAATATTTTTTACATTTTATACATATTTACATCAATAAAGAACATAAATAAATATTATAGGATAATATTTTCAATTATATGTCTATAAATCACATTTTAATTCTTAATGAGAAGAGCAATCATTTATAATAGTTTTATATCCTTGATATTATTTCATATATACATTTTATATTATAACGAAGACAAAACAGTTTTTCATGTTAATTATTTACATTAAAAAATAATTTTTCTCATAGGAAATTAAAAATATTACCATATATAAATATATATTAATTAAATAGTAAGTACATAAGTGTTAAAACAATCTACAAATTTTTAAAATTTACATGAATTCATGCATATTATTTATGTATAATTGTTATTCTGATATTTTTATATAACAATTAATAAAAATGATTTGTTTACATTCTTTCATACATATATAGGGCAATGCAGGGAACTAAAAATGTGAATGTAAATGTATATTTTTGCATATTATAAAAACTATAATTTATATAATATAATTTTAAACTATCCTTATATATGAAAAAAACGTAAGATATACTTTTTTAATAAAATTTGCAAAGAATATATATATATATTTTTTTTTTCTTCAGTTCGATTTTTCCGGGATATTTCCGACATGTATGTATGAGTTTAATACTGCTATACGACCTGCTGATTTTGAAAAACGTCGAAAATACAATAATTTGTGCAAAAATATAGGTAAGGCATTAGCCAATAATGATCCCAGCTTTACTCTCACATGTGAAGATCTTAGCCTTTATTTAGAGCATATAAAAGGAAAAGGGGACAATGAAAAAAAAAGATACTGTAAATATTTTTTCCATAAGCTAAATAACGAGCTAAAAGATCAAAGCTATTCTTGCGTTGGCGAGAAAAAATGTTACGACCAAATAATAAGTACAGAACAGAGCGATAATAATAACCTATTCAAAATATGTCATGGTGAATATAACGATTTTGATGAAAAAATATACACAATATTTGATTATTTGGATAAATTATACACAGAGCTGAAATGGTTTAGTTACGATATATATAAATGCCTTTCCGATTCTGATCCTTTTAATGAATATATGAAATTTTTAAGAGATTTTCATAATAACATCACTTTGCAAAGTGTACTAGATGAAGCTAATGAAAAATACAACAATTATCGCAGAAAATTACGAGACTGTTCTGTTGCAGCAAATCTTATTTATTACTCTTCTTGGACAGTTGGCATCTTGTTTGTTTTAACCTTTTCTATAATCATATTTATATTAATTTTATATAAGGTTAATAATAAATGAAACTTAGAGAAAAAATATTTTATTACAACTTATAATATGCATTGTTAATCTATATAAATATGAAATAAATTTAATGTTAATAAAAATGTATCATTGTTTGTTTATTTATTTTTTAGTATACCTCTTATAGTCCATATATACAACAAATTTTAAGTAACCTAAAGCATCTGTGGAATAACAGAAGTGAAGAACAACATGAATTATATAATTTATTTGATAGAGAGTACAAAAATTTAACTTATAATAGTTACCGAATATTATATAACACTGCTCAGTATTAATAAAACAACAATAAGTATAAATAATTACATTATATATTTATTTAAATTTTATGATATATTTCTATTAAATACATTTTAGTACAATGAATAATAATTATATCATTATAAATAAGATAAAATAATAATATTTTTATTAATAAATTTTTGGGATAAATGTTGCTTGAGATGGTAAATTATATATCAATTTATAAAAAATGAAAGTAAATAAGCTATAATTTAATCTACGGAAAAAAAAACAGAATTTTTAATATTAAAATGCTTTGAAAATTATTATATATTAAATTAAATTTCCGTGTGGGGGGTATGAAGTTACAATGCATTACCTATGTTTATTAGATGACGTCTGAAATATATAATTATTTCTTGCCATACATAATTAAAACAAATGAATAATGTCTATAATTATACATAATAATAAAATAATTATATAGGAATATAAAGTTTTATGAAATATAATATGTTCCTTCCACAAATAATATATTAAAAAAATTCACAATTGAATTATAATATTTTAATATGCACATCTCTGTTAAATGAGAGATTAAATTATAATGAGTCAATAATATTATTAATTTAAATGTAACATATATAGCAAAAATTATTGATATGATCATATTTTTTCTTTAATAAATTGGACAACTCAAGTTTTCTTCTTTAAAAAAAAAATTATGTTATAAGAAAAGTATTAGTTACCACGATATATTTGTTTTAATGAAGTAAATGCATATTTGTAAACGTTAGATAATATATTAGTAAAATAACTATGTATATATTTATTATTCTACATTTATTATCAGTGTTAACTATATATTTTTCAAATTTCAGTTCAGCATAATATTTTTATTATTTAAATGTTACTACATGATAATTATACAGAAAATATATTAAAAAAGGACAAATTATAATAGGATTTGATTTAATATTACCAATTAAAAACAAAATCATATTTTTATAAGAAAGAATAATATATATAATAAATTAAGTATAAATTTATTAATTATTCTGCTGATGCATTATATGTTGGTAGAGAATTATTGAAGAATAAACTTAGGGGCTAATAATTAAATTTTACATTGAGAAATGAATGTATAAAAAAAGTATATTTTATAGTAAAAATATTTATTTTGTAAAACTACTTCTTTTATATAAAATATTATTATAATAATATTTATGCTTCAAGCATTTCCAGATTTATTGATATAGATATGAATTTTTTATTTTTACATTGTGCTAAAACAAATATATTATTTTGTGCACGTCTTTTTGATAATTAAACTTGAATAAAAAGAAATTATAGAATTATGAATAAATTAATTATTTATACATTTCTTTTATTAAAAAATATTTAATACAAATAGTATATTCAATAAAATTGATTTAGCCTGTTGCGTGATTTTATTCATATTTTGATTAAGATATATATATTATTTATTATATATTTTTAAGATAGATTTTCTTCTATATAATAAAAATTAGATTAAACCATTAAATATGTTTTTTTCGTATGTTTTTATACGTTTATGTCCTATAAATATTTTTATTTAGAAAAATTTCTTATATTAAAGAAATAATATGCTCATATGGATTTAGTTAACTACAAATACTTAGGAGATTTCATGTTTAAATATTAAACATATTCTTTTAATTTCTTAGTCAATAAACAATTAAATTTTACTTTATATATATTATGTTTTTAACAATATATTAACTAGAAAAAATATAAGTGTATAAAATATTTTTATTTAACTCCATATTATCTTAGCAAGTATTATATTTTTCTCATAGATTTATAAGGAATTTTTTTTGTAAACTATTTCTACAATTAGCTCAGAGTTAACATACTTTTTAAAAAAATATTATATATTTTTAATTTTACAATATTAGCTGTTAATTTAAAGTAAAATTTCCTATATTAAGTATGCTAAATATTGTATGAAAATCATATGATTGATATGCATTAGTTTCCAAACAAGGTATTTCAATCCTTACATGTTTATATACCTATGTAAAATAACATGACAAAGAATTGCAGGAAAATATTATTAAAAATTCTTATTATTTATAAACATTAAAATATATTATCTTTTACAATATTCATAAAAGTACAAATAAGCCCTATCTACAATTGAATAAACACGTTTCACTTTATGAATTATTTTATGAATATAAAAATTAAGTATAAAAACTACTTTATGTTATATGGAAATTGCTATCATCTGCTTATAATATAGAATAATGAACGTAGTACATAGTATAATATGAATATATATTTATTTCATCATTTTTACACAATCTATATGAAAGATTTTGATATGTTAGTTTTAAGATGTACTTACTCTGAACATAAATATACATATTTATATGTTACTATTTCCATTTTTTCAATCTATATACATCTGAAACTATATACATAAATATTATTAAATTAATCATGCACTTAATTAAATAAAGGAAAACATATTACACATATTCAACTAAAGATAATGCTTGCGTTAAACAAAGAATATAAATGATGAAAAAGAAAAATAAATTTTAATTTCCTATAACAGCTATACAAGTTCATATTTACTATCTAAATTAATACATATAACTTATCTAGGGAATGAAGGATAAAAAAAAATTAAGATAAATTTGTAATATTATTTAACTAAAATTTTATTTATAATAATTTATTTAGTAATATGTTTATATAAATGGAAATATAACTTTATGATCATTTTATTATTCCCCAGTTTAAAAATTTTCAATATATTTATATTATGGAGCCATAATAATCATTGAAAAAATTATAATAATTTATATATATAATAATATAGTAATAAATATGAAAATGGATTTTAACCCAGATTTAGTGGTAGCAAATCTATACAATTTTTTACAATTTTCATAACTACTACATTATCTTTCATGAAATATTACTATAAAATACTTTTCTAGAACATAAGAATTTTTGAATTACATGATCAAGCTATAGAAGAATTAATAATTAAATTATAACAATTTCGTACTTGTCGAACTTTTTTTTAAAATATAAGTTATTGTTATTCTAAAAGATTATTCCAAGTTCCTATATGAAATTAGATTTTGTAAAGGGATTATTTTTTTTAATAACAATATAATTTGGTAATAATATGAGCTATAAACCCCAATTTTATCTGTATTACCTACAGAAGTTATACAATATTTTCTTTATACATTATATCCATTATTGTATTATTCTTTAGGTTTTTGTTACAGCTATGTATAATATTAAAATAGATAAATTCAGAGCAATTTATTATATATTATGCTTGCTAAATTATAATTCTCATATTGTCCATGTAAATATTACTTTTAAAATATAAGCGTTGCTTTATATTTACGTCATTTTATCATAAAATTTTGAATATTTTATTAATAATATATTTTTCTATAAATTTTAAAAAATATAATATATACATTACAATTTTTCTGAGGTCAAGACAAAAGTTCCTATATTTTTATCTAATTATTAATTCAAGGAATCTATACATAAATGCATTTTCCTCGTATCCTTAATATATTACCCAGATAACACTAGAAGTATACTGTAATTTTTTCTACTATGTATAATGGTATATACAAAAAAACATGTAGCAATTATGATAAAGCTGAATTTTAATTTTTTATAATCAATTATAATATACTTATCTTTATATAAATTGTAAATGTATCTACGAATAACAGTGAATATATATTGAAAAAAATATTTATTTATATTATTCTCTTTTTTAATTTTTAGAATAACTACTCAAAAAAATTATCTTTAAAAGAATTATTTTAATGTATTAATAATGAATTTTCGTCAACATTATAACATTGAAAGCATTGAAAATTTCTAAGATTCTATTTATAAGAAACTAACTATGGTTAATCATTTATCAAAAATTATAAAGTATATATTAGGCAATATACAAATAATTAGAGCATGACACCTATAATTGTAAGAATTTGAACTGTATCATATATATTTATGGACATTTTTTTTTTTCGAAAACTATTATTATATGTGTTTCTTCTGGAATTTTTATAACAACATTGAAATATTTTCTTAGTGAATGATTCAAATCACATAATAATTTATATAATATTATTGCAGATAATGTGCTAATTTCTAAATGACGTTAACAAAAAAAATTATAAATAATATGATGTTTCAAGAACAATTATTAAGGTAACGGAATCAAATGAAACAAATGATTAAGAATTATCATATTTAGTTTAACACAGCATTCCATATATTAGCTATAGTAAGGATCTAAGTGAAAAGAATATAAGAAAAAATCTCATGATTTAAAACATAATGTCATAGAAAGAATACAGTGTATTTCTTATTTAAATAAAACACAATTATCTCTAATCAAATTGATAATAATCAAATATATTTTAGAAATAATTTATAAGCTGAAATGTATATTACCCAATAAGAAAAGCGTTTAAAAGAAAATCCTTCGTCTCATACAACTTTATGTGTGAAAAGGATATTGACCCATTCCATATTTCACTATTATACTAACCATGAATTATGTTTGTCCCGTATCCTTTTTATAGAACTTTCAATATCTGATGCACTTTCACCATTGCATTAAGTATGTAAAAATTATCAATAAAAATTATAGAATATATATTCCTATTATTAGCATATAACATTAATAATAATTTAAAAGTTTTATTTTTATTATTTGTAAACTATTTTTTCCTATTTAATCCTTGTTATACAAAAAATAAAAAGTAATAATGTGATTTCATATGAATTTCATGAAAAATATTCATAAGTATTAACATCATATGAATTAGAAAAAGCATATTAAAATTATGTTAACAGGAAAGTATATATGTATTTTCAGTTAACAGTTTATTTTTAGTTCATAAAACCCTCAAAAAGTATACCTATTAGGATAAATGCTATTGTAACACGTATATATATAATACTCTGTGTAACGCTTTTTCATGCAGAGACAGAAAACAGAAGCATAAAGTTTATAAAATATATCTAAATATTACACAATCCACAATTCTATGATCGATGTGTAACATGACTACAGTTGTAGTAGTATATAGTTTGTTTCATGAATAATCAATATTTGTAATTTATATAAAATGAATTATGTTATTCATCAATGTGATGTAATTAAAAATATATATATTTTTTTATAAATACATTTTTACTACAGTTTACGCTAATGAAATTGTGTAATTTCAATAAGAAAATATTTTTTTCATAATAAAATCAAAGTACCTAGGCAAATGTAAAAGTTATAATTAATATTCTATATATAACGATAAAAGAGAAGACTAATTAATTACCTTTCCACTAAAAAATCTAATATTATTTATTTATTCATTTTTAGGAATGTTTTTATTCTCTATATATACACATATATATTGATGTATCGCGATACGAACACTGGTTATTTATTTTTCTTATAGCACAATTGTGCGATCCATATATATTTAGTTTCTAGTTATTATATAAACACAAGGTTTATATTTTAAAGCGAATGAATAAATAATACGTTAAATATTTTAGACTATTTGTTTTCTATTCTGTGTATGTGTATTATAAATATAGTTTTAATGATATGAATAAATATATTTCATTAAATTCTATACAAAATAATACAATAAAATGTAGGGATTAATGAATCATGTCTTTTTCATGTAACTATTTCTTATTATATAATTAATATATAAATATGTGCAGTTTCAATACATATTATAACACTATAATTTAAAACATAATAAAATAATAAAAAAATATTAATAAGGCAAGGAAAAAAGATATATGTTAAGTAAATTTAATATATTTTTAAAGAAACATATTTACAAAATGAAAAAATTATTATCATAATATAATTCTTTCTAATTATGTGATTAATGACAATATCAAGAAATAGTATATATATAATTATTTTTGTTAAGATAATGTTAGCAACATATCGTATTGCAATTTTGTATGATTATGTATGTTAATATAAATTATATATACACTAATTGTCTTTAAATATATGTATTTATACAATGTACACTTAATATGTATATATCATTTTTAATTTATTATAATATGTATGATGTATTTTATTCTTTATATGATTAAATTATATAATAATTATTATATTAAAATATAAAATAAATTTTTTATTACTTATTAATTTTTTTTATCTCATAAAGTTCATATAATGTATAGAATTATAATCAATTATATGTATTTCCTTCTGAGAACTTCTAAATTATGCAACAATTGAATTCAAATAAAGTATTCCTGCTGGTTTATTAAAAGATGTGATATATTTATATCATATTAATAAAAAAAAAAATAAAAAATAATTTTTTTTTAAATATGAAAAATTGTTAAATATTTATAAAATTGAAATTTATTTACTCTTTCATAATTTATTGTATCCTATAATGTAGAATTATATATGATTTAGAAAAAACATGTTTTGTAATTTTCATTATAGTGATGAAAATTTTTTTTAATCTATCCTTATTTTGCTCCTATTTATCAAATTTCTACATGCGGTATATGATAGAAATTAAATTATAATAATACAGGCTAATAAGTATTATGGAATGCTATTCGGTGAAATATGGTATTTTAAAAATATAACTATCATAATATCGTGCAGAAGATTCAAAAAAACTTTCTCCAAATCTTTCTCTCCATGATTCTTTTACTTTACACCACAAATTATCATTATTTCTGAATAATTTATTTATCCATTTGACAATTGGACTAAACTAATAAAAAGTGACATACACAAAAAATTTATTTATAATACATTCTACAATTTTATTTGTATTTATAATTTAACATTTTAGGTTGAAAATAATAATCACTTATTAAATTTATTTTTATGTACCTTGCTTGAAAAGGGTAACATAAAAGATACAGCCAAGACAGGTAAAAGTGTAATGTATATATATTTATATGACGCATATCGAGTTTCACCAGAAGGAAGTAACATATTTTCTGATCCTAATAAATCTTCGGATTTGTGATCTCTATCCAAGGGTGATTCTATTTGTGGTGCTATATCTTCTTTACATTTTAGTATACTTAATTTTTTTGTTATATTTGGAAATCCAGTCTTAATTTTCTGATATATATAACAATAATCATTTTTGTTTGTAGTTGTACACTCTCTGTTTATATCATTGTGCGCAGAAACTGCTCTTTGAATGTATTTTATTCTGTTCACTAGAACATAAATAATTTATCTCCTTAAGGGCATATTCAATATTAATGTAATATTTAGAATAATCATAAAATAATTTCATTTTTTTAAAGTCTTCTATATTAATATTAAACCAATTTTTTTCACAATTAACAGTTTTATCATTTAAAAATAGTAATTCATAACATTGGGAAAAAATTGAATTAAACTCTTCATTGCTAGTCACAAAATGTGTTATTTTATATCCTAACCAGTAGTAAAAATAATTACATAAATTATTATTAAAATTCCTAGTTGACATATAACGCATAAACATATAGCGTTCCTAAGTTGCTCTGATATATTATTAATATGATTATATGCTCTTAATTTATCATCTATTTTATCTTCATCATCTCCGTCACAAAATCCAGAATGACACGTGTCGAATGTTTTATAATCATTATGGAAATTAAAAATTGATATATCATTTTCCTATAATTTAATAAGTAACAATGATTTACATAAAGAATATATATGACTTCCAATAATTCTAACTTTGATATATTTATATCTAACAATAAATCTTAATGTTATAAATTAAGATTAGATTAGGCATACAACTGAAATTCCTGACATGCTTATATTATTTTTAAAAACACATTATATAAAATTTAAATATATTTATAATACACTTAAAATATTTTTTTAAAGGAAAAAATAACATATTATTGTACATATATCTATATTTTTATAATTAAATATTTAAATATTTTTCCTAATGGGTATCATTTTTTTATGTTTTAGTATTCAGTGTATATATATTGTTGCTATGTTAAAATAGTGTATATATAAATATTTCATTTGCATTCACGTGTACTTAAGATAGTATATATATATATTTTTTTAAAAGAGTAATATTAAAATTTACATTAAACAATATATATGTGTAGTAAATAAAATGAATTGTTTTTATATATATTAGTAAATAGTTAATTAGTGTTCTTTTACGATACCTAATATAAATGTGAATATGCTTTTTATATATGTACTTGTGTTCTATAAATTTAGTTGTAACATGTAGCTTATGTACTACCATTTATCATGTGACAAGGATAATTTAATTGCTTTTCTGGAGTTAATGAAATATAGGATTTCTTTTTATATTTTATTTAATCACATATATCTATTATATTTAATGTTTGTACACTTAATGCATTATAGGGATATATATTGTTTATATATTTTTTAATTCTTATTAATTTCTTAAATTTTATTATCTTAAAATATATTTACAAATATTATACTATATTTTTTTTTTATAATCATATTGAATTTTTTTGATAACATAATAATTTATATTGATTTACATATGCCATGCATAAATTTATCATTGTAGTACATTAAAAATTCACCTTATTATGCATAATTAATTATTAAGGCAGTTAATTTTTTATTATTAATGTACTTTTATGTATCTTTTTTTTTTTTTTGCAAAACAATATATATATATATTTAATTATACACGTGCATTTGTCCGTATGTTATGTAAATATATTCTTAAAATTTATTTTGTAATATAGATATTTTTAATACTTTATAAAGAACTTATTATTTATTCTATGATGAGAAATTTTTTGGAAATTCTTTTTTTCATATAAGATATTTAATTATTTTATAAAATGAAACATACAAACAATAAATGAAAATTAAAAATAATAAAATGCTAAAATTATTGAAGTTCTTGATGTACACCTTAATTAAATTGTCATAGCATATATAACGTACAAAAAATATAAGTACAAAAAAACAATTATTTATTTAATAAGTTATATTTGTATTAAAATTATTATATATACATTAATTACATTTTAGTTCTTAAATTTATATTAAATTATTATATTGAATACATCTTATTAAAAAATATATCATATTCTAAGCTTAAGCATAGCAATACTGTTTATAGTTTTTAATTTTTTTGTTTTATATATAAAGTATTCAAAGTTATTTTCGACTTAGTTTTTTTTTATTACAGGTGTTATGGAAGATATTAATTAATAATTATTCTTTTAATATACATGTATTATTTTAAAATTTAACGTAATATATACATTAATGAATTAATAATTAATAATATCATATATAACGTAAATATAGTATTTATATTAATATCGTATATATTATTATGTAATTGTATTGGTATTCATTTTTAGGAAAACTATAAATATACTTTTAAGTATTAATGTTTTTTTTCATATTCATATAAAACAAAATTTTTGTGCATAAACATTTGAAAAAGAAATTACATTTTATCTGCATAACGACATAAAATGATGATTGGAAATCAGTTATAACATTACAAAACTTATAATTAACAAAGTACAATAACGCATAATTTCACACATTAAAATTAAATAAGGGGAATTAATTTGTTTCCTTTACACAAAAATATTTTATATTTTTTTCTATTACAAATAAGCATTTGAAGAACAAAATAAAATTTGTTTAAAAAAATAACAAAAGATAAATTCATAGTTTTCCTTTATTAATCTTATATTGAAGCTCAATAGACACAAATAATGTTTTAATTAAGCAATGTAACATATTCGTGATAGCTCGTTATAAATATTCCGGAGTCATACATGTACGAGTATGCAAAGAATAAACAACTTATTTTGAAATAAATAACCATCATTTTTAATACATATATATATTGTACTATTATCTTCTCTGGAAATAAATAAATTGAAGTGTTATTTTATTTGATTAAATTTTTTATATACATAATAGAAGACATATTTATGTTTTTCGCGTAGGAATAAATAAATTCTCTCAGAGCTTAATTAGGTTGTCTTACTGATATACAATTTAAAATATACGTAAAATGCGCTACTTTTTTCTTTTACATTCAGAATACTGAAAATAATTTTGATCTCTTTTGTCTTCATATATTAATATTCGTATTGTATTTGCAAATAATATAGAAATGAACAAACTACTATAAAATAATTATAATTATTTTGTATAAAAATATTAACTTATTTTTGAACATCCATATTTCTCCAATACAAAATACAAATAAAATAATTATATAATTTCACAACATCATGTTTTTTAAGCATAGGAACCTTTTTTCTATATTACCCATGAAAACTATGTTAATGCATTTAAAATTTTTACAAAGTTTATATAAATAAAATATTTTCATTTGTATAGTAAATTATACTAAAACAAATTTGTATAAGAAACGTGTTTACCTTCATACAAAAAGAAAAAAATATAATTGTGTATCATCTTATAAGATTATAAATTAACGATTTTTTAATTTAAACACTTTTCCAAAAAAGGCACATTCGTAAAAAACTTATATTGATTATTTCTATGTATTTATTTAAGAAAATGTAGAAACATTAAAACTTTATGTAATAAGCATAAGGAAGATAATATTTCATAATAGAATATGCATATATATGTAACTCTAATAGAACAATAAATCCTCATGTAGACATTTATTTAATTAAAAAATAGTTTTTTGTCATGGAGGAATAAACACGATGATATATATACAATATATAAGAAAAACAAATACAAAAGAAATAAATTTACATTTTTAAATGCGAGATGATGTATGCAAAGAATAAAATAGTCAATAATTAATAATATATTATATACAATGAAAGAAAAATTATTAATATACGTTACAGGAATGATTATTATTTTTTACAAAATTAATAATAGATAAATAATATATTATTTCTACATACGCATTGTATACAAGATCCCATTATAAGTAACACAATAATCAAATCTAAGTGAAACAATGTTATTAATTATACAAACGTTGAAATAGTAATAAAATCATCGGATTCAAATAACATCTATTTTTACAAATAAAATAAGTAATATGCATATTAAAGTATTTCCAAGGTATAAAATATGTAAATTGCATAAGCATTTAAAATTTTTATGATTATAGTATATTATTATTCACTTTAAATTAATAAAGGAATTATTATTAATTATAAATTAAAGTGTGTAATATTTAGTAATTTATAAGTGAGAACATGAAATATTCATATGCTCTTTTAATGAACAATGAAATTACATATAAAATTTAGTCTACACATATATATTTAGGTATATTTTTGTTGTATACACAATAAACTCATAATATTTTACTTAAATATTAAAACAATATATATACAATAATAAGATAAATAGCTAACTTTTAACTTATACTGTTTACATATAATTATATGTATTAAAATGTTATTTTAAGTACAGCTTTTTATTTTTATTTTTACAATAATAATATAAACCTACATATAATTTTATATTTATTATCTTCATAATCAGCATTCTATAATTCAAAATATATTTAGCATAATAATAAGGGAGCATATGTGTAGTCACTCAAAATTTTATTTGACAATCAAATGCAACCGTATTTATTTTAAATAATAACCTTTTTTGTAGGAATAGTATTTCTTCATATTATAGAAATAAAGGATTCACAAAGAGAAAATATAAATAGCCTTAAATATATAAATTATTTTATTATTAATTCAAAAAGAATACGAAAATGAATATATATAAATAACATTTATCACACAAGTTTTGTTTCATTTTTTTGTCTGACTTAAATAATGTATCTCTATGTGAAATATTTTATTTGTTCGTATAAATTTTATATGAACCTTATAGTACTATGAGTATTTTATAGTCATTTAAATTCAAAACCTCACAATTTTTTACAGTGCTACTTATTTTACTTTAATTATTTTATATATTATGATGCTCTTATGTATATCTCTATAAAATATAACTATTTTACAGTTACATCAAAAAATACTTATATGTACAAATATTATGATACCAAAGGAATAGAATATTTATTTTAAAATAACCTTAATGATATATCAAATACAATAATTTATAAATTATATCAATAAAATTATTTAAGTATGCCTTGATTTATTAATAAAATGTCATGATGCTGAAATAGCAAATTTATTTTTTAAATTTTTATACTCTTACAAATAATATGATTTCTGGAATTATTCATATAAAGTAAGAAAATCGGAAAACACTAATAATAAAAATTAATAGATTTGGAATTAATACTACTATTTGTTTCATTCGTGCTAGTTAATATTGTATATACCAGATGATTATTCATAAAATTTTAAAATATTTACAATATTTTAAACAATATATAAATAAATTTCAAGAAATATCTTGTAATAAACATGACACAAATATTCTAAATTAAATATATATATATATTAATATGTTTGTAAAAAGATAAGAGAATTCTTTCAAATTTTATATATAACCTAAGCTCTATATGAAAATTTAATGATAGAAATTTTTTCTAAAAGAAGGAATACTATATCTAAATTACATAGAAATAACATATATCTTTATCATAATATAGTTTAAATAATGTTGGATAAATATATAT